AACGTTTCGACAAGGTTTTGTCATCATCAGGTACCCATCAGGTACCTTTACCCATTTAAGCCGTCTCCAGCCATTATTAGTCTCAAAGTGGGTTCCTCGTCATCGAATTTCAATTTCCAATATGCACTCTTCCTTGATGCCAATCAGCAACACATCATGAAGTGTAGAGAAGCTTCTTATAATAAGGGGACCTTCCAACTTTTCTTCTGCTAGAACTGTATGTCAACTTTGTGTTTGCACCAATCCCTCTTATTTCCTCATCTCTGGAGGCAATTTCCCATCTTTCATTAACCTATTGTATCTGTAGAACAAATTTCAATGAACATACTGCAAGGTTTGTCATCAATATACTCATAGACTCATGAATGATTATCCTCAAATAATGAACTTCTTATCTCATTTGAGGTATTTACAGATGAACTTTGCCCAAGAAATTTCACTAGTTCCTGTCTTTTTGATGTCTAGTTAATCCTTTATTGTTCCTTTGATCTAGTTGTGTTCAAAGACTCACACTTACGTTATTGTCTTCTTGGCTTAATAAAAGCTGTTAATTCTCTACAATCTTGTCTCTAATAGCCATATTTCCCACAATTATAACAATTTCCTCTTTCTAAAATCCTATGGTAGAAGTTCTTATTTAATACAGGCTTGAATGTACAGTTCCTTGCAATATGTCCTTTCAATTTACATTTGAAACACCAATTTTCTTGTGGTCTAATTCTTTCAACTTGTGAAACTAGCTGTCTGACTAATTCTTTCAGGTCTTTTAAACTATCATTAGGATAGTTTATGTTTTAGTATTACAGCATATGATGATTCTACAATTTCTAAACAGTGCCTTTAATAGTTTATCTGCAACTTTAATGTCTCCAAGTTCCATCACCAACTGCAGAGCTTCTATTAAATATGTACACCTACTTTGGTTCAGTCTAAAACTCATACCCTTCTTTGTTTTGGTATCTATAAATTTGTCACATGCTAATGAATCCATCATTTTATGAAGATTGTCTGGGTAAGATACTTGGCAATCCTTTCCAAATCTTCCATAAGTTTGGATAAGTGCTCTTCTTTTTTTCATACCTTGTTTCCGAATATTTCTTTCCAGTTTGTCACTCCAAACTTGTTGGATAAGGTAACTACAAATTCTAGATAATTGTTATAGTCTCAACTTGAAAATTACTTAATGTTGTCAATGGTGGTTCTTTAAATGGTCAGCAAGATGAATAGCTTGTTATTTACTATTCCATCTTTTCACTCTGGAAGTAGTTTTAAACTGAGCTTGGTATAACTTCCATGGTTCCTTCCAATCATAGACTGTTGATTTCTAAATTGGCCAATGTTGAACTGACCAGCTAAATTTTGGAACTTTATTTGGTAATGTGATGGCTAAAGTAGTTCAAGAAGGTCCTACAGTAACAACTGGAGCCATATTAGAAATAGATGTAGACCAAACAAATTCCATTCCATATGTTGTAGTAGGTGGTGTTTTAGGTTGGAACTTTTGAGACAATGCAGAAAGAGGTGTGGCTGATTTAGTCTTTGCTTTTAATAATTCATTTTCTAGATCTTTTATTTTGTTACTGATGTAATGATAACAGATTAGCTTCTTTCTGTCTTAATGTTTCTACAGGCTACCTTCCTTGTACACTGTAGTAAATTGTAGGCCTAAGTTTACAAATGTTGTTTACATGGTTAATGGTTCTATGACTAACATACAAATAAACTCAATTGTACAATTTCACAGCTAATCGAGTGAGTAACTGAATATACCTGATAACTAACACTGATCTAAATACTACACTGAATGAGTTGCACTCTAACAACTTAAAACTGACTCAATCAGAAACTACTTGGTGTTCACACACTGAATACTTGACTTTGACATTTTACTTACTACTTACTTTAATAACTCGTATTTATAACTGATGCTTCACTTCTAGAAATTCAACTGAAACAGATTTTCATGACATCATCTAGAACAATCTAAGTATTCTAGGACTACCCCCACAAAATTTCTTGATCTTAATGTCATGCATTCTCTAGCAAACATCTGAATTAAAACATTGAAAATATAGCACACAACAATATCTAACATACTGTTGTATTGTACTGAATTTAATCTCATATTTGATTATAATGTAAGTTCATATTCATCATTCTTAAACTTTTTCTTTCTATGGGGTTGTGAGTCCTTTTTTTATCTCTAATTTGTTTAAGATATACTTGGCATACATGATAAAATCTTAAAATTGTTATGTGATTACATCCCAGCTTAAATAACTAAATATTTTTACAAGATTAGTTACTTTTTGCATTTGCAGAATAACCATGGCATATTATCCTTGCTTGATGAAGAGTGCCTTCGACCAGGCCCAGTCAGTGATGAAACTTTCTTGTTCAAGCTGACTAAGGCCTGCCAAGACAACCCTTATTTTGAAAGTAGGGGCTGTAAAAACTTCCTCTCTGACAATACGCTGTCTTACCAAAGTTTCCGTCTCCGTCATTATGCTGGTGCAGTAAGTAATATTGCTGTGCTTTGTCCATGTTACTGTTTTTGGCTATGCATATATTTTAAATAAAGATATAAATATTTTAGATTACAATGATTTGTTTTTCTTTGGATATCTTGCCTTGTCTGTACTGCCTAAATTAATTCTTGCAAATTAATGATGTGATATTTAGTTTTTAAAGGGTATCTATATGATGTTTGATTGAATGTAATACAGAAGTTACCTATCAGTTAAACAAACCCATGTAAGTTATAGTTCGTATACTAAGTGGTAGATATGCTCAAAAAACAATATCATCACCTCATTTCTTGTTCATCTTTTCTGTTTGAATGTGTAATTAATATCTCTTCACAGTGCAATTAAGTTCAATCCAACCTTCATATAGGGTAGGGCATTACCATATTTTTTCAACATTTTCTTTATAATTAAGTTATCACCTGTTAGACCTTAAGTATCCTTTTATTTAAAAAAGGCAAATATAGTGATTATTAAACTATACTGAGCTTCAATGGGAAGTAAAAGCATTACTGTGTAGTTATTTCTCATATTATTATTTACATTTTATGACAACTGGATTGAGGAAACATATAAGCATTAAAACTTTCTAAACTGTAGATATTTCAATATGATTATACTTATCATAAAAAGTTTGTTCAGAAAATAGTTCTTAGTGAAATAAAATAATAGTTATTAATGTAGATAACTCTATGGTGTTTAGTGTTGTAGTTAACATGTAAAGAATTTTATCTACCATGATAAAAGAATTTGCACAAAGATTCACCAAAAAAATAGTCAAGTAAATTTTAAAAGACTCAAGTGCTCAAGCACTTTCAATTAATTGCTATTCTTTTTCAGAAGAGTGAACTGTTAAAAAGCACTTGAGTGTGTTGAAAGACCCAGAAACTCAAGTGCTTTTGAATAGTTGATTATTCTAAAGTTACTATTCTTATTCAGAATAATCAACTATACAAAAGCAGTCGCATTTTTGGGTCGTTTGAAATGTGCCTGAAGAATTTTATGTACATGTTCTCTGATTGTAACATTCTTTTCAAACTACATACTTTATTTTGGTATGTTATCCATAAAGATACTCCTTAGAATGAAATTTAAATTATTATTATATTATCATCAGTAATCAATTAAGCAAGAATCTATTATGATAAAATGC